TATAAGACCATTATCGAAGAATGAGTATTAGGATCCCGGAGTGGTGGGAGAGACTGGAAGCAGAGGGATGTGGATGTACAGTCGGAAGAGGGGATTAATTATTAGGTTGTACAGTTTGATGGGTGGGTGGAGGGTGAGGGAAATGGAAAGAATTTGTCCAAATTTGTATTAGAATTTTGTAAATAAACTAGTGGGGGGAAAAGACACTGGATTTAAACATAAACCTTGAGCACTCAGACTTGATGTTAGGTGCCCTTGAGTCGGGTACAACTCCTAGCAACCCCATGAACAACAGATCTGAACCCTGTCCTATCCAGTGCCATCCTAACCGTCTTTGACACACTTGAGCCCATCAGAGCCATCACTGCATCAATCCATTTGGTTGAGGATCTTCTCTTTCACCAACCCTCCACCTTCCCAAGCATGACATCCCTCTCCAAGGAATAGCCTCTCTTAGCACCATGTCCAAAGTATATGAGATGAAGTTTTGCCATCCTTGCCTCCACGGAAGACTCAGGCTTCACCTTCTCCAAGACATATACTGTTATTCAGTACTCTTCTCCAAAACCACAGCTCAAAGGCATCAATTCTTCTGTTATCTTTATTCATTGTCCAGCTCTAGATGCATAGCGAGTGATTGAAAGGTTCATGGCCTGAATCAGGAGCACCTTACTCTTCAAACTGATGTCATTGCTCTTTTGGTAATTTGGAGATGTCCCTGATTGCAGGCTCTATCAGTGCAATATGTCTCCTGATTTCCTGACTGCAGGTATCAAGGGTGTTGATTGTGAATCCAAATAAGAGGAAATAATTGACAACTTTAATATTTTCTCCATTTATCATGATGCTACCTATTGTCCAGTGGCAAAAAATTTTTGTTTTCCTGACATTGAGAGGCAATCCATACTGAAGGCCGCATTACTTATCTTCTGCAACAAGTGCTTCAAGTTCTCCTCACTTTCAGCAAGCAAGGTTGTGTCATCTGCATAACACAGGTTATTGATGAGTCATTCTCCAATTCTGAGGTGACTTTCCTCTTTACAGAGTTCAGCTTCTCAAATAATTTGTTCATTATACAGATTGAATACATATGGAGAGAGGCTACAACTCTGACATACTCCTTTCTTAATTTTAAACCATGTAAGGAGGGACGAACCCTTGGAGAGGGAAATCAAGCTTGGAAGGGTAGAGAGACAGTGCAAGAGAGGCAGACATTTGAGAAGATGGGTTGATTCAGTGACTGGGGTTATGAGGATAGATTTGTCAGAGACGGTAAGATTGGCACAGGATAAAGCAGGTTTCAGGGCTATTGTACATAGGGTCACTATGAGTCAAAAGCTACTCAATGGCACATAACAACAAGAACAACAACAGTGTTTCCTTGTTCTGTTCACACAACTGCCTCTTGGTTTGGGTATATGTTTCACATGAGAATAATTAAGTATTCTGTGAGTCCCATTCTTCTCAATGTCAGCTATAATTTGTTGATTCATACAGTCAAATGCCTTTGCATAGTCAATAAAACATAAACAGACATTCTTCTGGTGGTATTTTTAAAAAGTATTTTTTCCATTGTTTCATTTTTTTTTCTTCCTTTCTCCTCTCCCTCTCCCTCAACCTGTTCCACAATTTGTTCCAGATTGTTATCATACATATAAAGCCTAATCATATATGCCTTTCAGATAGTTCTTCCCCTCATCTGTTCTAATGCAGTGTTCATCATCTATTCACTCTTTCTCTCCCTACCCCACCCCACAGTAGTGCTATGCAGTATTTGTCCTTTTGTGACTGAGATATTTCACTCAGCATAAAGTCCTCCAAACTCCCCTACACTGTGTAATGTTTTACAAGTTCACTGGTTTTCAGTGATGCATAATATCTTGTTGTGTGTATGTACCATGATTTTTTCTATCCATTCTTTTGTTGGTGGGCGCTTGGGTTGCTTCCATCTCTTTGCTATTGTGAATAATGCAGCAATATGCATGGATGTGCACACATCTATTTAACTTATGACTCTGGTTTCTTTAAGGTATATTCCCAGTAGTATAATTGCTGGGTCAAATGGTTTTTCTATTTCCAACTTTTTGAGAAAGTGCCAGTCTGCTTTCCATAGTGGCTGTACAATTTTGCGTTCCTACAAGGAGCGAATGAAAGTTCTAATCTCTCTACAATCTCACTAGCATTTGTTATTTGCTGCCCTGTTGAACTTTGCTATTATTGGTGGGGTGAGATGATACCTCATAGTTGTTTTGATTTGCATCTCTCAGAGAGCTAGGGATTTTGAATATTTCTTCATGCATTTGTTTGCCACATGAATTTCTTCTTTTGTGACATGTTTTTTCATATCCTGTGCCCATTTTGAGATGTTTACCTTTTTCTTGTTGAGGTTCTGGAGAATTCTATAAATTTTAGATATAAGTCCCTTATCAGATATCCGATTGCCAAATATTTTTTCCTAGCCTTTGGGTTTCCTTCTTACCCTGTTGGAGAAGTTTTTTTGATGTGCATAGGGATTTGATTCTTAGAACGTCCCATTCATCAATTTTATTATTTCCTGGTTGTAGGTCTGCTGTTCTTTACGTTCAACCAGGATCTGACATCAGCAATGATATCTCTGGTGCTACAATCTCTTCTAAATACCGCTTGAACAAGAATTCAAGTTTCAAGACAAGAACTTGCTGGAGGTGTAACTTGCTATAGAAATAACTATTTCTGAAATAACAATATCCAGGGGAAAACTATAAAGAATATGCTGTGTCTACCCTGCTTAGTAAAACAGCTATAGTTTAAATTGTTTAAAATAGCAAATACAATGAATATTGTAGCCATTGTTAAACTTTTAAAGTGGTGTGGGTGCTTACTACTATTGTTATGTGCTGTTGAGTATTATTTATACTAACCCTATGATCAACGGATCTGAACCTTGGCTTATCCTGTGCCATCCTCATCATCTCTGACACACTTGAGCCCATTGTTGCTTCACCTTCTCCAACACATATCTATTTGTTCTTTTGGCAATTAAAAAAATGTTGATGATTGTTTTGATACCTGTTTTTATAATAAAAAAGTGGGGGAGTTGATGAGTTTCTGTCAAGTCATTTCAGACATGATAAAGGCCAGCAGACATGGTGAATATCTTTACAGCCTTTGCTTGACAAACCATATGCTTAATTTTATGTGAAACAAACAAAGAAAAAAGAAATAGCTGTGCAGATAAATATGTAATTTTGAGATGAATGTCAGTCTTAAAATATAAATAAATGTAGAAAATGTTAGGGGTGGGACGGAGTCATGATGGCTCCCTCTGGCTCTTTGATGGTACATTTGCTGGCTGTAATATAGTTGACTGCCTCTCTTCTAGCTGGTCCCCTGTCACCCCATTTCTATTCTTGTCCTGACATTATTTAGCTGTGTGGCCTCAGGCAAATCACTTTATGTAGGTTTCAATTTTCTCATTTCAAAAAATGAAGAGATGAGATAAAGCGCATGATTTTATAAAGAAATGTAAAAAACCAAAATCCAAAATAAACCCCCCAAAACCAACCAACAGACCACAACAAACCCTAAACAAATAAACCAAAACCCCAAACTAAAGAAGGAAAAAGAGCAATAGAAAAAAGTAGGGGTAAAAGATAATTTATGAGCTGTGGTGCTGGAGAAGAGTATTGAGAATACCATGGACTGCTAGAAAAACAAACAGATTTTTCCTGGAAAGGGTAAACCAGGTGGCTCCTTGGAGGCAAGGATTCTGAGGCTCCGTTTAACATACTTTGGACATGTTGTGAGGAGAGACCAGTCCTTAGAGAGGGACATCATGCTTGGGAGGGTGGAGATTTGGCGCAGGAGAGGAAGGCCCTCTATGAGGTGAATTGATTCAGTGACTGGGAAAATTGGGATGGGAGTGTCAGAGACAGTGCAATTGGCACAGGACAGAGCAGAGTTTAGGGCTGTTGTACATAGGGTCGCTATGAGTCACAAGCGACTCGATGGCACATAACAACAACAAACAACAGTAAAATCCCACCTGTGATTCAGTCACTCTGTGTGGTTCATTGCCACAGTCCAGATTAGATCACATTCCTTCTTACATTATTCCCTACCATGAAATTTTATGAGAAATTCTCCTAAACTGTGATCTGATCCATATTTTGGCAAGATTTTTTTTTTCTCCTTTTGGAAATAAAAGTTGAGGTTAATCATTCTGGCCTGTGCATCCTCAGTCTTTGTTCTTCCTTTGCTCTCTGGCACACTTCTCCTCCATGGTTCTTCTAGTGCAGGCATTTTTGTTTGGAAAATAGATGTTTTATTTTATTTATACAAGGTGCAATTTCAAAATACAAATAATATATAATATGTAAATATAACAGACTAGCAATATAAATATTAAGTCATCTACATGTCAAGTGTCACTGAGCTGTGCTTTCTTCTGTCTACATACTTGAATCAAGAGAATCCATGGGCATGACTTCCCCCACCAGCCCCGTGCTCCCTGTCATGGAACTGTGGGCACCTCACTGGAGATAAGAGTGTTTAGGAGCTGAATTGCTGGTGTCATTCTTTAGACATCCACCAGCCAGGAGGAGCCTTGCAATTAACTCAAGGATATTTGTAATAAACTTAGGTATACTTCCTTTATTTGTAAACGATAAGTGTAGGTGAGGGATGGAATAGATGGTCAAGCTGATAATAAGCCATCTTGAATAAATCTTCCAAGAAATAAAACCCTGATGAGAAAGGCTTCCACCTCTCCCTGGAAAGCTTGGACTGCTCAGACTGGGAACCTGGACTGAACCCCTGCAATGTGGCCCGAGAGTCAGCCGAGCCCGTCCTGCAGCTGGGAACCTGCCCACACACGCTGAGCATGTAGTTAGTGTGGTGGCCTCTTTGGGTGGGCTTTTTCCTAGCCCCAAACTCTTGGATCCTTTTCTATATTCTCTTTGGCTAAAGCAGAATGGACAACTTTGCTTTATACTTTCTGGGTGTAGTTTCTCCCTTGAGTTTCATAAGTTGTGTTGGTGATCTTCTGTATTTTCCTCTCTGTTGCTGGCTTCTGCAGTCATTGGCATGTCTTCCATTTCAACATTTGGGGCTGGCGGTTGTTGCCTGGAAAACAGATAATGAAGAGATTTTGAGAACAGGAGAGGGGGAGTCTTCAAATCAGGTAAAGAGATCATTATTTTGGAACACATGTGTCTAATCCTGGTTGGATTCCATTAGCAGACAAGGTCCTCCCCCCAAAAATCATGAACTACTAAGTCTTCAATTAGTGGTGGCACTTAAGAAACAGGGAGAAAAAAAAATATAGATTTCCTAAATTTACAGACATTATTTAAATCCCGTTTTGCAATTTTTCTACCTCCTCATCCACCAAAGATTGACCAATCCTGATGGAGCAACTGATCCTCCTCTTATCACCTCCCTGCTAAAAAAGTCATAGTACAAATGGCAGAGAAGAAGAAGGAAAACAAAAAGTATACATATTTAACTAGTATATTCAAGGAGAATGTATTCATGAATATATCATAAGAAGAATTTATAAATATGGAGCAAAATTGGTTATTTGGCACAGGATTTCTTTCTGAATTGGCATTTGCTATATTGGCCCATTTCTATTATCCTGGCTCTTGTTTCACCCAATATTGCCTGATAGTTTGAGAACTGATTTAAGAAATGAAGGACTTGGGGGTTACTACTCATTTCAGTCAATGCAGAACAGGTGAATTTGGGTACAAGAAAGAATTCTATGAGAGGGCATTTGGGGAATCATAGTGTAACTCTTTTTTCCATAGGAAGGAATTTGTTCTATAGGATTGTTAAGGATACTCACCTCCTTTCTCTGCAATATCGTATAAAAGCTGCTACTCCTGCTCCAATAATCAGGATGACAATCGAAGCTGCCACTTTAAAAGAACAGAACTAAGTTGGTATCATACTAAAAGGCCCAGCCAAGTAAACTCAACTCAAGGCTATCAAGTCAGAACCAACTCATCCCTTGATTGAGTTTTTTGAAGCTATAAATTACACAGGAGAAGACTGTCTGTGTTTCTCCCACAGAGCAGCTTGTGGATTTGAACTACCTGAGGCATCACCTTCGGGTGAGTAGCACAACTCCCTATAGACGAAGTTACCAGAGCTCCTGAAGGCCCAGTGTTGCTGTTGTCAGGTCCTGCTGAGTCGGAACTAACCTATAGCTAACCCTCGAGTGCATTTTCAGAGGCAGTTAATCGCTCAGGAGGAAAGTGCCAATCTTTCTCTAGTGGAGCAGCTGGTGAATTGGAACCATGTACCTTTGAATTGGCAGCACAATTCTTTAACACTGTGCCACCTTAAAGGCCAAGTAGTTGATTAATTTCTAAGAATTTAAAACTTAACAAGTTTATATCCAAGAAGAGAGAGGCAAATGCCTTCCCAATCAACTTATTTTGTTCTTGTTATGTGCCTTCGAATCGTCCATGACTCATAGGACCCTAGATCTCATAGACAACAGATCTGAACCCAGCCTTTTCCTGAGCCAGTCTCACAGTCTCCACCACATCTAATCTGATTGCCTCTGTTACCATGTCAATTCATCTCATTCATGGACTTCCTCTCCTGTGCTGTCCCTCCACCCTTCCAAGCGTGATGTCCTTCTCCAAAGACTGTTCCCTCTTGGCCATGTGAGACAGAGCTTCACAATCTTTGCCTCCAAGGAGAAACTTGGTTTCACCCTCTCTGAGACAGACCTGTTTGATCCCCTTGTGGTCCCTGGTATGTTCAAGACTCTTCATCAGCACTAGAACTCAAAGACATTGGCTCTTCTTTTGTCATCTTTGTCATTGTTCTGCTCTCTGATGCATAGCAAGTAATTATGAAGACCATGGCCTGGATCAGGAGCACCTTACTCTCTAAACTGACATCACTGCTCTTTAGCACTTCAGAGAAGTCAGTTACAGCTGAAATCCCCAATTAATTTGTCTTTTGATTTTCTGACTGCTGGTTCCAAGAGTGTTGA